CCCCCCCCCTTTCAAATAATCATGGATCTGCCCCTGGAGCAAGATGGGGGGATTAAACAATTTTAATGCCAAAATGACATCTGATCAGCTTTCTAGGTGAGGGACCCCTAGGAAATGCATCCTTTTATCTGATTATACAAACTGCTCAGGTAACATAAGCTCATTGCAAGCATATTAAAACAGGCCAGGTGTTGGAAACTGTGTGGTTATTTCTTATCTCTTCCTTTTCCTTATTTATATCCGTATATTCATTCAGCTTATGAGTCTGATGGATTAAATCCAATTAATCCATTACAAGCACTTTTACCCTTTAGTCTTTCCAGTTTGTAGAGCCCAGGTTGTGTTAAACTGGGTTTCTATACCTAGATCAATCTAACAGGATCGATCCATCTCCCTGGGGTTTCTCACTAAATTGCTTTCAGCTTAAGTAGCCTACAGAAGTTGCCTAATGATAGTTAATTACCCCCTAGTGGCTTCAGTAGGCGTGAAAGATATCTAAGCCACTTGAGTTTATTGCAATTTAGCGGGAACCCCCTAGGAGATAGATCGATCCACTGTTAGTACGATAGTGTCTGGGAATGGTCCTTAAAACAGATTGCCTTTACACACAATGGGTAGATAGAGCATACAAGCCATGTAACAACCCCTCCCCCACCATCATTCAAAACAATTAGCCCTAGATGACTCCTTAACAAGTGCTCCTTTCTGGAACTATCCAGTTACAATATTGACCTGGAGGTGACCCATGCAGGAGGGATGTTATGTAATGTGTAGAGAGTGTTACCAAGCAATACCCCAGAGGCTGCCAGAGCAGCTCAAGTGGTTTTGTATTGTCCTTGGAACTAAGGCAAGGTGGTGTGGGGTATCAGAAACCATCAATGAAGTAATGAGGAATGCTAGCTGGGGTCCTGGGTTACCTGGCAGATCATTATGCATGCAATATCTTCATCTAATTATAATGAACAAAAGAAATTATTTTATATAGAGAAGCAAAAAAAAAAGGAAAAATAGTGAATTGTACATGTAAGAAAGTTTTTATGTGTCTCTTATTGTTGGACATGCTTGTTTAGTTTTGATGATTGTAGCAGATCTAAAACAAAATCATAGAGGCAAGGCATAACAAAGAATGCTTGCTGCATGGTGTTGAAAGTTAAGGCAAGCTTTGATGGCAATAATGGCAATATCTTTAAAGGGTAGAATATTACTTCAGAATCCATAAGTCTATTTTGGTCACGGTGTCTCCAGGGATCATATCCCACCATTTCCCACAAGCTGACATAGTTTTAAATCCGGCCCAGGTTTCCTGTTGTTTACTGGTGGCACAGCAGTCCAACTCGTTTTCCTGCCCCTGATCCCGGGTACAAGTGAAACATTATAGCAGAATGCTTTAGTTGCAAAGAGTTTGTGGTCAATTAAAATTTCTGCAGTGTTGAGCAGTAAAACTCATTATATATCATACATCTTTTTATGTACTTAAAACATATCTGGGTTTCATTAAGAAATTAAAGATTGCAAGAAGTAACAGCTTCAAATTTAATAGACTGTATTTTTTCATAGTAAAAAATGAAATATGAAAACCATCTTTCTGGTGAAAAATTTTGTGTTGTCGCAAAAATATTGTATTCTGTGGAGGGTAAGGTTTTCACTGCTGGGGATGGAAGTCTTTAAAGGAATATAGGTAAAATCTGGTTCCAGTGGGTGGTTTTATTTGGCCTGAAAAAGAATTTTCTCTGAAAGTCAACTGGTTCATTACAATCCACTTAATACTGTTAAAAAATAATGCAGTGATTGAACTTGGTGTTTTACTTCTTTGAAACCTTCATTTTTCTGAACAAAGGAACTTAAAATCTCTGTAGATTCAATTGGGAATTTTAAGACACTTTTCAGTAAACCACATTTTGGACAGATTCCTGTTGTTACCTTCATACATTAGATGATTATTATGTGAAAGTTGTCCTTGACAGTCATAAGTGATGCATAGATCATGCTTTAAGTCAGCTTGAAAGTGCAATAAACATCAGCAATCAAAACACTGAAGATCATATCAGTCAATAATATTTATTCTGTGGCTTATTTTGTTTTCAGGCTTGCGTAGCACGCACATGCAGCATGTTTACGACTTCTACAAGCCTGATATGTCCTCCGAATACCCCGTTGTTGATGGGAAGCTCTCTATACAGTGTTACCTAGGCGCCCTGGACAGATGCTATCAAACTTACTGTCAGAAAGCCGAGGCGTGTTTAAAACAAGGTGAGATCTAGATACAGTGACATTTCACATGGTCAACAAATTGTTTACTTTTGTGTCTAATGATTAACCCTGATGGAGGATGTGTCCGAAATTTGTCCCATGCCCTCGTTCATTTTAATGCTGAACCATCTGGATTTACAAAGTGTGATGTAACTAGGTAGAAATAGTTTTCACACTGCATTATTGTTGGAGCATTCAATTTTTTGGTAGGGGTATTGATTTTATTTTTCATTTCGTAATTTTCTGTTAAGATGTGAGGTATTGGCTCACCAAAAAATTATACAGAAAATTTCAATTAAAAAAAAAAAAAAAAACCTAAATTGATCCCGTAACTAGTGTACTGAAGTACCCCGTGAGAGTCCAGGTTTAATTTTTATCATTAAAATGTGTACAGAGTGTTACACTGTGTTTATGCCACTTGCAGTTTCAATAATGTAATCTAATGCACTTGATAACTCTTGCCTCCTGCCTTCTCTAAACTAGTGTTGTTGGTGGTATGGACCAAAGTCCCCTGTCAACTAGATCACACTGCAGTGAGTCACCTGTGTAGGTTGAAAGATATTGAAAAGATTCTCCCATTTTGCCCTCCTTTTCACCTGAAACTTTGCACTTTGAGCCCTGTTGATTTTGTTGTCAGCACAGAATTCCTGCTGAGAGAAGGCATTATTGACAAAAAAGACTTGGTTAGTCATTCTTCTGTAATATGATTGAAAATGACTTTCATATGGGTAAATAGCACACTATATTTCGTTCTTTGTTCAAAAAAAAAATCTATCTCAAGTTATAAACATAAATGAGTTTTTCTGACTCTCAGCACATTTTTGACTTTTTGGGCACCAAAAATATCATTTTTGAGATCAATGCAGAGGGCCCTCTGGACCCCATGCCATATTTTAGACTTTTTCCACTAAATGGCAGCCCCATCCCTATATAAAGTTGAATAAAATACAGGTGATAGATTTTCCTTGGCTTTTTTTTGTCATGTTTATTCATAGGTTTTGCAGAGACGCGCTCAGAAAAATATAAACTTTAAAGTGTTGCAGTAGCCATTTGAAAACTTGTAAAAGATTCTTACCACAATTTGATAAATTTGTCATCAACTTAGCATTCTTTTGAAAAGAATGTTTTGGTTACCATGTCATTTACTACCAAATAAATAGATAAATAAATAAAATTTAAATAAAATGAAATAAAATAAAATGAAAAAAAGTATTTGAAAGGAAAATCTAAAATAGTAGTGCTATTGTACATTAATAGTTTAAACCATTCACTGGAATCCTCCCTGTTATTTTGCAGAGAACCTTGGCTCCCATTTTTCTCTAGACAGCAGTGCCTTCTTTGCCTTCCACACACCCTACTGTAAACTGGTTCAGAAGTCACTGGCAAGGCTGATGCTCAATGACTTTCTCAGGGACCCAGACGCAGGGGCCAATCCTAAATATTCAGGTTTAGAAGCTGTGAGGTATGGAGAAGAGAAACATTATCAAATACTTAGATGACATTATATATGTTGTGATCATTGCTTACATCACATATGGTTGAAAAAATATATATATTGTTTGACCTGTTGAAGTAAGATTGGTATTTACAATAGTGTTATGAAAACTGTTTGAATAAACAATAAATGTTGTATTAGCAGTCCTTTTTATCACAGTTGAGAAAACAGTAAATACTATTGTAGAAACTCTGTTGAAGTTGTATATTGTTACTTTATGTTGAATGTTGATTATTGTAGAGGAGTAAAGCTTCAAGATACTTAAGAAAAAAGATAAACGTTTTAGTTTTGTTTTGAAATCTCTCTCTCTCAGGGGAGTAAAACTTGAAGATACTTACTTTGACCGTGATGTGGAAAAGGCCGTTATGGTGGCCAGTCAGTCTTTGTATAAGGAGAAGACAGAACCCACTTTGTCTGTAGCTAAACAGGTTGGCAACATGTACACCCCTTCTCTTTACGGAGGACTGGCATCCATTTTAGGAAGGTGAGGTATACTTCATTTATTTATTTATTTTTTTCCAAATGAAAATTTACATCACATATGTAAAGGTTCACACACCAAAATAAAACAAGAAAAATGGGAGGGCCTAGCTAAGCTAGTTAACAAATGTGGTAAAAGTTAATCATGAGTGATGTGTGACATTTTTTAAATCAAACTAAGCCTGCTTACTTTTTTTAAACAGGGACACAACAATAGCAGTAATGAAAGACAAACAGTTGCTTGCCATTAATCATTGTACTACTTTTGTGGATTTAACAAGTATTATTAACTAGGCTTGAATAACAAAATGGGCAGAGCAGGTGAATTTTGATCATGCTAAATGAAAGCCTTAGACTAGGTTCCCATGTTTAGATCGATCCATCTGGATCAATCTAACTCCCTGGGGAGTCTCACTTAACTGCTGTCAACTAACCATCTTAAATGTCTGTCACGTCTAACGTTTCAGCTGGGGGGTAAAGATAATTACCCCCTTACAGCTTTACTAGGCATGACAGACTTTAAAAGGTCAAGTTGACAGCAATTTAGTGAGATTCCCCAGGGAGATGGATTGATCCAAGTATCTGTGGGAATGGTCCCTTAAGTAACAGAATTTCTTGCAGCTGATCTTCTATTTTGTCAAAACATTGAATTTTTTTCACTGAAAGGGCAATGTAAATGAAGTAGTAAAAAGTAGAAATATACATGTGGTTTTAGGTGTTTATTTTTTCCTTTCACAACCAGGAAGCTATATAGTAAAAAGTAGAAATACACATTTAATTTTAGATTTTTTTTCCCTTTCACAACCAGGAAGCTACGTAGGAGAATGCTGGAATCAAAAGTTGTTAAAATACGAATATTAGTTGCCGTCTTCATTTTAGTTTCAGTAAATTTGTAAGTTACAGCCATTCTAGGACCACATCCTGCCTGTCCTGAATACAGGGCTCCAATCTGAAATGTCTTGCTGGACTGGATTCTGGATTTATTTTTGACATATACATATATATCTTGCAGCTGTACAGAAAATGTTTCTGATGCCAGCAGACAGATTAAATAAATAAATGTCTGAAAGAAGTTTGGTTTGGTATATTGATAAAAAAAATAATAATTGCGGTAAACCTAAACATATGAATGGGTATTTTAGATCACTTATTGCATTGTAGGAAAGAGATTGTAAATAATTTAATAAAATTGAAAATGACTTTTTTTGAATTATTTAAACATGTCAGGTTAATAAACTAGACCCTTCCAAGTCTTCTGTTTCTAATCTGTACTCTATTCTCTGCGAAATAATTGCCATACTTTCACTAGGAAGCTGCAATATATTTACAGGCCCTTTTCTTGTCCCTCTTCCTAGAAATCATTTCTATTTTTTCTGCGTGGCTACAGGGCAATCTGCTGCTGCTTTTCATTGTATTTTTATACCAGCCATTTAAGCACTTCAGTTTCCTGGATATTGTTGCTAACACAACACACATTAGTGTGAAATATGTCTTTACAAGTCCCAAAGTATTTTTCCGTGCTAGGGGAATTTAGTACTTGCAATATGTTTTATTGGGGAGTATTTGGTGTCACATGTGTGTACATGTGTTCAACTACTTTGTTCAGAGGTCCTTGGTTTCCATTCTTTTATATAAATAATTTGAACTAAATTACTTTATTCCTCTGGTGATGTCTGTCTAAGGGAAAGTATCTTGTTGATTGCAAATGATCCAATGTACATATTTGAGGAATTCCTAGTTCAACTGATGAGCCTGCTTTCCAAAAATACGGTAAGTTTCTTAGTGTCCAAAGGATATATATATATATATATATATATATATATATATATATATATATATATATATATATATATATATATATATATATATATATATATATATATATATTCTATTTGTAACTATTTTAATCTGGCAAGTTTCTGAGTATCCAAGAGGTATATCTATTTCTAAAATATTTTCCATTTACTTAAAGTAGGAACTTCTAGTGTAATAAGTGCAGCAGCTGCCTTTCTCACTTCTGGTCAGACTTCCACAAACAAGGTGATTATGACTGGAAATATCCCCTATCCCTAGACCACTGACCAAGTTGAATGTTTCCACAGGGCTTCTTGGACTTAATAGAGCTGGTTTATTGTCTACAGTGTGGATTGCACTTGCCCCAGTCTGTTCTGGTGAACATTAAATGTGCACTAAATTAATACCCTGTTTTCCAAGAGTTACAAAACATTTATGTCAATTTCCTTCTACGGTTGTAACTAGCAGTTAATGTTAGGGCCTGACCTCGTGTGATTTATTGCGGATAACTACTGGAACATTGTCCTTTGTGGTTGATAAGAGGTGTTAAGATGAAACTCAAACATTTTGTCCAAGATACTGATGGCATCCCTCCCCAAGCAACACACACACACACACACACACACACACACACACACACACATATGAAAAAGAGAAAAAAAACATAGGAGTGAAGCTAGAATTGAAATATATCCACATATGTCACTACCAAAATTTCAATTTACTGTTCAGTGCACGAAATATGTATTTTGTGTTTCTGCATATGCACATGAACAATATCGAGATGGTTATTAGTCCACCTGTTCAAACAAACCAATACAACTGAATGCGATTAATCCAGTTTATTGGCAATGTTATAAGTCAAGCATATAAAATATCTATCCCTTGGAAAAATTCAATTGGTTTAAACGTATAGAAATTAAAGTTGGAATTGTGGTGTTCTAAATATATATTGAATATATTGATCCAAGTGAAGAAAAACCTGTCATTGTCACATAAAATGCAGTCCTTTCTTTCTATTTCAGCTACTCCTGCAGTGAGCTAGCAGGCAAGAGGGTGACTCTGTTCTCCTATGGCTCTGGCCTGGCTTCTTCCATGTTCTCTCTTCACTTCTCAGAAGATGCCAGTCCAGGATCTCAGCTAGAGAGGGTGTGTTTGTCCCTCTGTGATCTCCAGGAAAGACTAGATTCTAGGAAAAAGATGCCACCCGCTGATTTTGATAAGATGATGAAGCTTAGGGAGGAAACTCACCACAAAGGTATTGAAACAGTTTTGAGTATTATAATCAAGTCAAGTTTGAATTATTTATTTACTTGGCAGTGATTGTTTGACAAGTTGTTATATTATTTTGATATCGAAAAAATTTGCATCTTTAAGATTTTGTTTTAGATGAATGATATTAGAAATAAGCTGATTGGTTATTCTCTTTTTTAATGTTAAACAGGTCAAGTGAAAGACATTTACTTCCAAATGGTAGAGCACTCATTGTCGTATTCTGAAAATTTCTTATGTCATAATGTGCTAAGAATTTTAAGTCTATATAGGAAAAAAGTCAACATTTTAAGAAGTAAAATTTTTCTCCAGCTCCATACACCCCAGTAGGTGATGTGGAGGCATTATTCCCAGGAACATGGTATCTCACAGAGGTAGACAGTAAACATCGCAGGAAATATGAACGCAAAGCTCTAGCACAAGCCACAAGCATTCCATCTTCTCCTGTAGCAGCTGCAGCCCCAGTGTCTGTAAGTATCCGTTCATAGGATGTATGGGATAGGATAAGAAAAAATTCAGTGACTAGACCCAGTACATACAATTTTCCAAATGGTCAACTCACTAGTAAGTTTTATACCTAAAAACCCCCCAAGTATCCAAAATTTTATTTGGCCTCTAATGTGAGACCATACGAAACCCATGTAACTGAGATGTTATCAGGCTTTTTGAATCATTATTGCAGACTCCTACAACCATTTTAAAAACTAATTTATTGCATGTAATTGAATTTGATTTCCCAGTGCAAGTCCCAATGTCTGGCCCCTACTGTTAAGCTGGTCCCCACACCCAGATCAGAACCTGAATTTTCAACTTTGAAAAATGTCTCCCGCAGTCCCACCATTTTCCATATGGTGTTGCCATGGCATCATGGCCTGTTAAGAAAATTTGGCGTCTGAGGTTTTATGTGCACTTGTCGCGTTTGTTACTTGGTATGATGTATGGATCTGGCAATACAAAGCTTTTGACAGACTGTAATTACTTCAGCGAAGAGAAATGCACAATATGACACATGGCGTGGAATTTGTTCCTCCATTGCCACCCCAGACATTTCACCTGTCCCTAGTTTTCATTGTTTGCAATAGAATTTTTAAGAAATTATTCACCCCTTTTTATTTTGTTTAACAGAAAAAGTATCAGGAATGATTTGGTATTTTGTACATTAGATTGGCACTTAATTCTGTTTTTAATTTCTTTCTTTCCAGGTAAAAGGGCTTCCCACAGCATCTGCACAAGCTGTTGCTGCCTCTACAACTTCAAATTGACATAAGTTAAAGATCTAGGAAAAAAGCTCAAATTAAGACCTTTATACTTCTTTGCTTACATTCATAATATATAAAAATTCAGTATTGGTTTTAATCAATTTTAGTATGGAGTTATATAACTAATATTTTTATGACAACTTATGTTTATGCTCCGTAGGCAAAATTAGATTGATGTAGCATATGTGTTGGTGCATATATGTATATTACAATAATAATAAATATTAAACAGGGGTGGACAGTAAATTTACTGATTTTGTGAAGTTTTTATTCACAGACATCTCACATACATAATATGTCAAAATAGTGAAAATGCCAAACTAATTTGTATTGTTTTGTTTGTTAAGAATTTTTTAAAGTTTTCCATTGGTTTTGATATTGCTTTGTGAGTCACTTTTGTATAGCATTTAAATATTAGCGTATACAATTTAATGTGTCACATCTCTTTTGAGGTCACATGTTTTTCTTGTGTGTTGAAATGGAGAATGTTCAGCATTTAGAGTATTTCAGAATTTCTCATGTACCACAGCATCAGTGAGTTGAAACTGACAAGTTTTAAAAACTTTTCATGTCAGATTGTATGCTGATAAAAACTACTATAGAGCAGTAAGAGATGTGATAGAGCCTCAATATGTTCAGTGATTTTAGCACCTCGTGCAAACTGATTTGGGGATTATTTGTCTAATTCAAATGGGGTTTGAATTAAGTTGCCTGTACGCATTTATGCTGAAGTGTATGTATGCAACATTTGTGATTTCTAAAACGGATGGAAATAAAATATTTTTATTAAAAGATAGACATTCTTCTGTGAGTAAAGAGCAGTGACTGTATTCCGATTTGATGAGAACAGAATATTTTAGACAAATGAAATGCTGTACAGAAGTTAATAATATTTGGCTTATGTAAGGATCCTTGTACAAATATTTACATATCAAAGAAACAGTATTTCTACCAGGCATTATAGATAGATACAAATATTAAATTCAATGTGTTGAAATATGGTAAAAGAAATCGGAATTTCACTTCCGAACAATCTTCATAATCGATTGCATCTTTATGCTAGATAAGATCTATGAAAATGCGTTAGATGAGAAGGCCTGAGCATTGCCCCGTGTTCTTTTCTTGTGTATGGAAAATTCCTGTAATTGCGTTTGTTGAGAAGCCCCGTGTCGCAACTTTCCTTGTGCTTCAGCTGAACACTATTATTCCCTCGAGCGTAGTGTACACCTTTTTTTTAGACCAGATAACAAACTGAGAGACAGACGCGAAGATTTGCGATGAAATTCAGGAGCAGGATATTAATTGCTTTGTTCATTGGAACCATAGCACATTTGTGTTTATCATTACTGAGTCTTTCAAGGAAGTATCATGCCACATCCAGGCAATTCATTTCTAACGGGATGGGGGAGGTGTTGCTTTTTGATTCACATGAGAACCCTCCTGCAATCGGAATGCCGGTGGCGCATAAGCTAGGTGTAGACGTACCCCAGCACAAAGAATACGTATTTGGTATCCTTGCAAGCGACCCACCCATTGGAATCGTTCAAACACTGGCGTCAATATTAAAACACGTGGCTATGGAAGACAGAGAGAAGATTGGCATTATCGTTCTGCTGACCACCATGTCCGATTCTGCTCGACAAAATATTGAAATGGAAATGGTGAAGCATTTTTCAGAGGAAATACAAATGGGAATGATGGAAATCGTCACTGCACATCCGACAATTTACGAAATTAATATGAAGGGGCAGTCGGATAGATCGGTGCTGAGCTGCGCTTATCTTATGCAGTATAGTCATCAAAGAGGCGATTTCTACATTCATTTGGATGATACCGTTATTGCCACTAGAAGACTGTTTCCTGCGATTGAAAGCTTTCTCAGATCTGTACAGCACAACTATTGGATCTCAATTGACTTTTCTACAATGGCAATAGTAGGACAACTGTTCAGATCGAGCGAAATATTACACGTGGCAGAATTTTTCATTTCGTCGAATGCGTCTTCGTCACCTGACCGTCTACTACAACTCTACGTGGATTCCCAGCAACCACCGTGTCATATCGCGAAAAACAGACCAGTTCAGCGTCACTGTTTTCAGGAACTTGGTTTGTCGCGGGTTTTACACCGCCCATCTTTATTCACGCACAATAAAAATTTGACAAAATCCCGAAACAATTTAGCAGAAAATGAATTTCCCAACCTTCCGTTAACGTATGAGCCATGGCCGTGGGACGACGTTCCAATCTACATAAACCCTCCAGCAAAACTGAGCACCTCTCTCCGCCACCATCACAACCACAGCTTGGAGAGAGCCTACCGCTATCTAGACTACTTTTATGCCATTCAGCCCAAGGCGGGGGACATGATTTACTACAATTTCACGCCTCCGGTCGTGCTGGAGGAGTTTTTCATTCAATGTGGGAGCAAGGAACATCCATGGATTAAATTTTCCACCTCTACGTATGTAGACATTCTGCCACTGCTCCCCGATAGAATTAACTTAACAAACGCCCCTTTCTTTAACTACGGTTTCCTAGACGACGGTTACGTTAAAGTAGCGCGCTTTGACAATCGAGGAAAGGCTGAGGGCCCACTTGGGGAAAGGTTTGGAAAGATAGTCTCTGTTAGAATTCGGATAACTACAGACCACGGGGATTGGGTACCGGTACGGCACATGAGTTTCAAGCTACAACTGATACCCAGCGGGAGAAGGCCTTGCTGTGAGCCCTACTGGCCAGACCCCTTTCCCGGGGGAATACCGGGAGTGCGAAATGTGCGTGACTAAGTAAACTATCTACACTTTCTTCGCTAGAAATGTGATGATTGAAAGCAAGTTTCGCGTTGTCTGTGGATTACACTGACTGATCTACACTAGCCGCAGAATTGCGAATTTGCAGACGATTTTTCCGAAGAGCAAATACCATCAGTACTATGTATTATTTTATTAAGAACTATGCATGCAATTATAGTCTGAGACCAAAGGTATATTTCATGTATGGCGAATTTTACGCTGTTAAAAAAAAAAAGACGAACTAATATTTCATAAACATTTTATTTGAAATCATTCAGAAAACAACTAAATATCAGCTTGCTGGCTGAATCCTTTTTACACAATATGTAATTCAGGGCTGTAAAACGAATGTAACATACGAAACTAAAAACTTTCTTATTTCCTTTAATAAATTAAAAATGTATAACACGACTAAAACTTATGAACATTCAGTAAATTAAACATTATTCTAAGGGATAATCACACATCAATATTATATTAACATATAATAATAATAACAGTAATAACGTTAATAATAATACTTATCATTACTAATAACAGCAGTTATCACATATACTAAACAAATATTTTATCACAACCAAGACAATGAAGTATCGCTTATTTTTCTTTAGTTTGAGTCTTTTTAAATGAAAAAACAATACAACACTCTCCGTTCAGCCTTACTTTCTAGCCGACTTCTTAAAAACAAACAGATAAATTTGTTCTGTATTATTATTTGTTTCAGGATAAAACGTTGATCAATGGTCCAAATCTCCGGTGATAACTGGCAAAAGGACACTAAGAAATATAACAAAAAATGTACATGGGTCCAGAGAGATATAAATATACAAAGATTTTTTTAAAGCTTGTAGCGGACAAGTTTTTCGGGGTTCCGTTGTACCTATCAGGCTTAGACGTCCAGATGTACCTTGTTTAGGGTAGTTGGAATTCATTTGAGCATCATTATTATTAAAATCTTTATTACTATATGTTATTTTCATCACCCAAATGTTTTTTTTTTTTTTTGTTTCGCAAGATTGCCTTTTAAAATTCAAGCGCTAGATATAGCTAGATACGATATTTATAGCCATTTCATGAAATTCGTTTCAAAATACTTGACCACTTCGGTCTTTTTTTCCTTTTTATTTGTGATTTCTTACATCAAAATATTGATTCATTTATCAATAAGTATTTTATATATCTTAGTGTCCCTCACCTACTGTTACTTATTTTCATTTGAGCATATTTGGCACTATCACTTTGAGACAGCTGTTTATGGCATTGTTTACAAGTTAACACAGACAAGCTATGGTAATAAAATGTTTAACTTATTTGACTTATATCACAACCTATGCCTGTTTAAAATAGCTATACATAAACAAACAGCTATACATTATCACATCTGCTACTGCATATCAAACATGATTCATACAAAATTTCTGAGCTATGATGTCAATCATACACAAAGGATAAACTTTCATATTTCATACAGAAGGTATCAGAAATGGCCACAGGCCATTTTCTTCATAAAACTTCAAACATAACAAGTAGCACATTACCATGATACCTTCAAGATGGGCATCAAATAGAGCAAATTTTGAGCCAGATAACCATAATTACTAGAACAAAGATGAAATTGAATACAAGAGTTGTCTG